ACATAGTTTTAGGCTGTGTTCTAATATATACACACACAGCTTTCCACTCGAAACTATACGAAATAGATGCAAAAACATTTTTGTCTACTTCGCTTCTAATTTTTTCATTGCGTATGCACAAGCACAAAGCAACAACATTTTCGTATGCTTTGTGGGAACATATTGGCGCCAGTTACCTTCAGCGTAAATTTCTTTGTTGTCCTGCATTTTATCGCAATGTTCGGGTGTCCGTTTCATTGTTACACAAATTTTCGGGTTAGCTGCGGGTGTCCGAGTGTGGTGTTCGCTTGTGCTCAATTTATAGCGAGGGTGATCGAACAGACTCGTTCGTAACCAAAGCAGCTGTCGGGTATGCATCTCGATCGAACACATAGTAGCCGAGTGTGGCGTTCGCTTGTGCTTGATTTTTAGTGAGTGTGATCAAAAAGGCTCGATCATACTCAAAGCTGTTCTCTGGTAAGAACCCCTTGCAGTTTTTTTCATATTTTTTACATCAAGTAAGCGCAAAGATGTGAAGAAGTTATCTATATAAAAGCTGTAATGCTCTTTCTCTGGAAGCTTCGAAATTAAGTTCATGACAACAGAGCCACCTACTCCGAGATATGGGTTTGTACAACCAGTTTTAGCTCCCTGATATGGTTCAACAAAAATTAGATACCCCAATCGTGTGCAGAGTGACCATATTTTATACCCAAAACGAATTGGCTTGCCGTGAATGTGCTGCTTGGTTCCGTGTTTTCCAAAATATGGTATCATCGATTCATCTATAGATAAATGTTTGTCTCCAGGAAAAAACTTAAGCCATCTTGTATTCATCATATCCCATAAAGGCCTTACTTTACCGAATTTATCATCAGGAGAAATATGGCCATTGCCACTTGCGTGGAAATAACGTAGCAGTTCTTCGAACCGATTACGAGTCATGCACGAGGCAACTCCTGCATGATGAGTATCTATACTATGGTCCCAGTATAATCTGTATCGTGAGACACTATTATAACCCGATAAGAGTAAAATACCTATAAAACTCTTTAATTCTTCAGTTGTAACTCTGAAATTCATTTGTGATATGGCAATCGCATTCTTTTCTGTACTAGAGCGTAGCAGTTCGTAAACTTCATCGTCAAAAAACATCTCGAAGAATTCTAAAGGATTACTTTTATCGAAAACAAATTCGGGTGGAATTGATGCTTTCTCATGCTTTGGAGTAATGTCCTTTGATTTCCATTTCCTACTTACGACAATTTTAGCTTTAGCTTTTAGCTCTAAAGCTGGTAGCGGTTGCTCGTTCTGTTCATTTTGGTTCATTGAGGTAATTTCAGTAGTTTCCAAGACGCCCTCTGCCGATGGAACTGTGCATCGTACCTCGGCTTCAGCTAATAATTGTCGTCGACCAAGATTATTTATGTCCCCAGAATCTTCATTTCCACTGTCTTCATCACTAAAGTTACCATTCTCAGGTGGTGTAATAAATATGTCTGCTGAAATTATAGAGCTTTCATCTTCTAGAACTGATATTATTTCGTTAAGAGTTAGTCTGCAAAGAATAAATGCATCGATAGTATAAAATTACAAAAAACCCTATCTATAAATACTTCAATAATTTAAAGAAATCTTCATGCTGCCTTCTGTGCCCAGCGCACTTTAAATAGGGCGCTGATTAAAAACTATCAAAATCAGCCCAAAAAGACAAATTACCATTTTCTTCAAAATATAAAATATTAGATAAGTTCATGAACAAAAGAAAATATTAACTCCGTTAATTATAACTAAAGCATAAACTAAATTATTACTTACGTTTTCCTGGAAGCCATGTTGATCAAAATTCAAAAAATTTCACGAATTTCTCACACGAAAATAAGCGTGCGTAATCTTCTTCAATTACTAACTGATTATGCGGGAAAACGCCTAGTTTACTATAAATTTCAAAATCTAAGCCTACTTGTTAAAATGAGAGTATTGCAATGCAAAGTATAAACGCACCTTATATGGGGCGTTAGGATGATATGGGTTAAGACAGCCCCAGTAGAAAAAATCTAATGGATTCAGGTCTGACGATCGAGCGGGCCACGTGATTGGCCCGTATCGTCCAATCCATCGGC